TTTTTAAATATTACTTTATGATAATAATTAAAACACACCAATTTAAAAAATAAAAACGACAGCCAGCCATAGATGGAACACCATTGTTATTCAACATTAAACAAATATAGTTTATTATATAATTACGTTAGGTATAATATTATAAAAGAATATAAGACGAGAAAAATATTTTTATTCCTCCCGTTAGCTCATTAAAATGTTTAGTAAATAAATATATCTTATATTATATGTTCAAATAAATGCACCACAGTTAATAATTGTCAAGTTATTTTTAACATGAATTATAATATACATAGGCACACATCTAAATTGTTTTCTAGCTGAACAACCGAACAGGGAAAATGTTTATCAGTGAGGAACATTATGTAAATATTATAAATGAATAAACAAGACTACTAGGTGTATTATTAAGTATAAACAATAAACTACGTTAGAACGTCATAGTCTTTCAAGAGTTAGGAAACAATATAAATAATGTGGCAAATTATAATAATTTAATACAAAATTTGGGCAAAATTACAATAATTAAATTAAATAACAGATACAAATTTCCGTGTATTTAGATATAATCACCCCTCGTGTAGGATATAGTGTAGTCAAGATATGTAAATATGTACATAGCGCATTTATATTTACAACTATAATTTTATCGCGGAATGTCTGTACATGTTACAATGCGAGAAGGTACATGATATATTATGTACACTATGTTATGGAATTCAACATAAAAATATTGGTTTAATACATTTTAGCTTTCTTTAAAAATATTTTTTATGTATTGTATAAATTATAAATGTGTGCGAAACTATTATTACAATTATTATTCAGTACAAATCCGATCTTAAGTTAGGTATTTATGAAATTATGCAACCATTAAATATTATAGAAGTAATATAAGCATTACACGTATCAACATAGTTCTTTTTTTTTTTTTTTTTTTTTTTTTGGCAGAATTTCGAATGGGGCACCCGTAGGTTTCTGCCATGCCCCGGGGGTGGGGGATGGCAGCACTTGTTCTCCGGTCACCGCGAATTGTCCGGAGAAAAATGCCGCCCGGTGGCCGAGGATCGAACCGCGACCGGCTGCGTCGCAGCGGAAGAGTCAGACCACTCGGTCACCTCGTCCCCCCAACATAGTTCTGCTATAAAGTCAATACCTGCAATGTTACAGGTTGGAAGCCATGCGAGATAACCTTAAATCTTTACTTTCAACCTGATAAACCATTTGGATAAATAGAGTCGTGACTCGTGGCTCCTCGGAATGGAATTTAGTTTTCGTATTTGTGCAGAAATAAACCACATCGAACCGACAACACAATAGTTTGTACAACAATGCAATTATAGTAGATATGCCAATAGTACCTAATACTCTACTGTTTTATTCAAATTTCAAATTATTTAATGCAATTTACAGAACAAATATTATATAGGTACCATTTATATAATTACATAGGTATTAGGTACCATATTATATTCATATCACATATGTCTACATCATAGAATTAAAATACGGACGCTCTTAGGTACATGCTAAATATTATCTACCTAGGTCACCATATTATATTAATGTCGAATACTCATAAAAAAAATTGAATATTATATCGTATATTGAAACAATAAACGGATAAAAATATTGAAAAATGCGTTTTTACGGACTTTTGTCGGTCAATACCCAATATAAGTACGTATAAATTGATACAGGACTGCGAATCTTGTGTTGCAAAATATTATTGTTTGTTGTTGGTATAATAAAATAAATTGCACAGGTATGTTTTATGTGTATATGGATATATAAATAATAGGCATGAATATTGCATTTTGTATATTTTACCTTTTGTGTTTGTTAAACATTGGAATACGATGGCTTACGTGACCGTCTGTCGCATTTCGGATACGCTCCAGATGCTTAGTCAACACTCAACAGGATTACCTTTTCGAACCAACTGTCAAGCAGGGAGGCCTTACTTTTGGCTAAGGTAGATTCGAATTAATATAGAGGACCCCTATCATGTATCTATTGAAATAATTAGAAGTTTTTATCATTACAACAACAAAATAACATTCAGGATAAGATACCTCTTTGTAGGGAAATAATTATAAGTATAAATTTGTTAAAATTCAAGAAAACAAATAAAAATAAAAATAAAGGAGATCATAAAAACATAATAACTAAGATTGACAATTTATAACAATGTATTTACTATGTACATGAACACAATATAATATGGGTCTACATATTATATTTATTCGAACATAGAAATATTGATAGTTATATTGTGATTAATTCTTTTTTAACTTAACAATTTAAATGTTAAAAATGTGACACATACTCTTAACTTTGTACAAATTAAAAATATATTTCAAACTATTATAATATTTGTTTTTATTATATTACACATGATAAACAAGTGTCGCAAAAGGAATTTAAATTCAGAAGATAAGGACAATGCAATAATAATGTATATAGTTGAAAAATGGAAAAAAAAGAACCGTCTAAAATAAGATATTTATAGTCTAGACTGTCTTATAAATATGTATTTGTATGTATGTAGAAGATGGAAAGGGATAGGTATCTAAATTCCATTAACCAAAAGCTTTTTCAAAAACTTTTTCTTACAAAGTTCTTGAATCATTGACCTATTTTATTTTGTTTGGTTTTAGGCAAACATTGAATAAAAATTAAAAATTAATTTCGATATTTTGTATTAAATTGTTTAAAGTGTCATAAATGTGTGTCTACAAAATAAGCATTTTTTAGTGAAGCAACGCAAATTATTTTCTCTCCTTATATAATAATACATATCAAGTTTAATACAAATGAAAATCATAAGAACATGTATAAAATGGTTAACCTTCTAGTATTGCATAATGCACATCATAAATAGAACAAAAACAAAAAAAACTAAAATATTTCAAAGTCTATAAAAAGCTTAAAGTAAGACTAACTGACTAAGTGTCTAAGTATATTGAACATTTGATTGTGGGTAAAAAATTAAATTGAAATGCTTTAAGTTTCTACGATTCATATTCTAATAATTGCGAAAAAAAATAGTTCGAGAATAAGTCATCATTAAACTTTTGGTATCCAATAATGTTAACATATTTTGAACTTAATTGCTGATAATAATATGTTTATGTGGCTTTATGTTCAAACTTTTTTTTTAATTTCCAGTAAAAAAAAATCATGCTAAATATTGTAATTTATATTATTATTTATTCAAGCATAAGGTGTTAAAATTAAATATTTTATGAATTTTGTTTAACTAAATAATTTACATACTTTCTTCATTTTGATAGAGTTTGTAAGGCATTCAAAACTGTGACCATGTATATATATTTCTATATTTTTTAGGTTAGAACAACTTATGATACACCTTGTTTTATATTTACAAAGATTTGTTGAAAAATCCACGACTACAGTTTTAAATTTGTACAGAGAAAAAATAAAAACAAATTTGTCTAAAACTGGTTTTGCTTTAAAATTGCTATTTATCTTGTTTTTACTTTTGTTATGAAAAGTACTGTGGACTCTAACTTTTAACCCCTTTCCCCCCTCGTAAGTACCAACAAGATATCCAATCTCAGGGTTCAAGACTGAACAATTTTTACAGCCCTGAATTGGTATGACAAGCATACAAATAAACACATTTTTTTAAGTCATTGTTTTTCGGATAATATGTATGCATTACTCCAACCAGAATCTAAAATATTTAATTATTATTGTGAAAATAAAATAAATACAAAAAACAATGTACTTAGGTACTTCTTTCATACTACGACTAACTCTTAAGATAGTTCTCTATTCTATTTAATCCTAGAGAAAGATCTCTCGGGAAAACCTACGTGTATAATAATTACGTGTGTATAATAAGTAGGTACTATACATAATATAGATACGCCGTCATTATTATTTTGCTTTATAGTGTGTCCATAATATATACAATTAGTTCTAAGGTATTTAAATTACCCACGATCCACAAGTGAGAGTAAACCAAACAAGAAATTTACAGAAACTCATTGATGCAAATATTATGCATAATTATTGTCTGTCTGTCAGAGATGGCATTGGTTATTCTTTGATTATTCTTGAGATTTATAATCAAACAAATTTAATGAAAATACAATTATTGTTGATTAATTGAATTATAACTTAGTGATCAGTGATAACAATACTAGTCACCATATTTAATTACTTTTTAATTACATTTTATACATACAACTGACAAGCCAAGACCAGTAAACATATTCTATTTATTATTTTTCAATCTAATTTATTAGTTTGATTACTATTTTAATTTCTGAATTTTCTCAACATATTCCTTTGTTATAACTTATTTCAACCAGGTGCACCTGAATAATTTAATTTCATATTTTGAATAAAGTTTTCAAAATATTTTAATTATAAATAATGAATAATTATTATTGGTTAGCGATATTTTATGAGTTTTCTAACTGTTTCTTAAATTTGTTTAGAAACCACAAAATAAAATAACAGCTTTTATAATACGTGACAAAATAACATTTTATTAGAAAATTATTGAGCAGCACATAATTTTCATTAGAAATATAAATGTATTTTAAATGGGTTAAACTAGCACTATGTCTATCGTTCTTAAGAAAACATATTAGGTAAAATGCGAAAATAAAACTTAATAGCTTGACTCTTAATGCACCAAGTTATATTTGACTATCAACCAAAACTCATTGATGCTCAGTAAATTTAAGATATAAGAATTTAAAATTATTTTTTAATATTTATAATAACCTAAGACTTCAATAGTCAATATTTCATAATTATTTGTTTACTTGTATCAACTTTTAAAACATTATAGTATATTATTAATTAATTATATTTATAACCTCACTTGAGAGTTAGTATCACATAAGCATTCATTTTCTCTCTTATATTATGTACCTAGGTATATAGATAACACATATGAAGTACCTAGTATAATAAATTATTATTATTAATAATATATCGTAACTCGGAAGGTGTTAAAAATGTGTATGCAACTTGTAAAGGTAAGTATGGGTTTTCTTATAGTTAGTAGATAGGTCATCGAAGAATATCAGATTTAATACTATTCTATGCAAAACGAATTTTATTGATTAGAATATTAGTGCCATAATATGTGTTATTAATCACATGTTTATATATTAATAATATTATTTTTTTCCGATACAGTTACTATGCAATTTTATTATTCTATACTACAGCTATATTTTATTGATTGAAAATTGTATTAAGTAGTTGGCTGATTTATGTAACGATTAAAATAATGGTAGCGAATTGTTTATTTGTGTAAAGCATAAGTACCTTCTTTTTCTATAAATTGAGTACAAAATAAGTTAATTATCAATATATTATAAGGAAAATGACGGTATAAAATATGTTTTTCTTAAATCGTACATCATAGAATTATTTATGAAGTTTGATATAATTATTATAGGATAGCAAAGATGAATTGGAACTTGTATCTACACATTTCGAAAACGATGCTAATGTCGGTTACGTAGAATTAATTCAAAATGCTGATAAAAAAGCCGTAAATATTGCAAAAATAATAATGCAATTGAAGAAGGACTTATCTAATTTGCGAACTGTGTGTATATGATTTGTCAATAATATAAAAAGTTTATAAATAGTTTATGTTGAAATGTATAGGGCTGTGGAGCCGCCCAATCAAATGAAATGGAAGTATGTAAGGTACAAGAACAGTTAACAGAAATGGTGGCACAATATAAACAAGCAGTCGCTGAGGTACTCAAATTAGCTAAAACTAATAAATTCGATGTTGAAAACCTAGAATGCCGAAAAATTGACATGACTCAATATATCAAGCCGAACAATTGTATGACATCAGTAGTCAAAGCGTCTGTAAGATATTAATAGATTAATAGTTTTAAAGAAGTACTGATTAAAATATTAAAAAGTAGGAAATATCGTAATCTCGTCAGAGACGTAACTTGTATGGTGGGGGGGGGGGGCGAGGCGGAAATTTGCCACTGTCTGATTTTAAAAACAACCTGATGTTCCGGTGCCCGATTTTTTTCATTATCATTATTATATTTTACTAGCCCAAAAACATGAATATTTTTATAATATTTTGAAAAATATTTTTTTTTCTGTATTGGTTAAGCATCGACTACACAGGTTATTAGATTTATGAAAAAAATGTTATAGTGTAAAAAGAAATTATTGGCTCACTTATAAATTGGTAATTACAAGATAATTAATAGTTATTATACTTATGTTTATATTTGGACGTCGTTACGATCAAAGGTTAGGTTTTTATGTTGACCATCACTTGGGTTGGTCAAAATTTAACCACCTTCAATATTAAAAACAGAAATGACACCAATGAATCTTATTATTTGTTAAATCGTTAGGTACCGCCGAATTCTAATTACATACTGGGTTAATAATAATAAATATAATTTTTTTAATCATCCCTCACTATGTGATAAGTACTTGAGTATAATAAAATATCAATATTTAATAAGTTCAGTTATATTTTTACACTCTCCACTTAACAATTAACATGCAATCGGTGATTGACTGTAATATATAAAGTTTCATTAGTATTATGTTAATTTGAAGTATTAAGTTGATAACTTTACACGTTAAACCGCAACACCATTATTTCTTAAAATAATTTAAATTTATATAACATAGAAAAATTTATTTATAAGGCTATATCTAATATTTCAGATCTCAAATAAAAAAAATATTTCTACATCTATTATATGAACTGGATACCTCTCTTGGTTTATATTATACTGTTTGTTAAAAACCTAAAGTTTATAAAAAGTAAATTGTCTTCATAAAAATAGAAGAACTTTGACAAAGCAATATCATTTTTATTTTTTTGAAATATTTTGTTTCTTAATAGTGATATTGAAAAAATAAAAGCAATTATTTATTATACGAAACCGTATATTTTTGTATATCATTTTGAAATCAAGATTTGAGATATTAAATATTGTGTTAGTAAGGTGGGATAACCTAACCTAACCTTTGAATTAGTATATACAGAGTGTCCTGTGAGGATTTACACTCTCATTGCGATATATCCTGAAATAATGTAGATATAATAATTCTGGTTTTTTATTAAGTCTCACAGAGAGAAGCACTGCAAATAATTCATGTTTTAATTTTTTTTTATGTTTTGGTAAAAATTTAATAATTATTTAAAAAAAAATTGAAGGTAAACATTTTGTAGGGTATTTATTTTGAAAATATTGAAGTTTGACATTTTAATTTTATTAATCTCAACATTTTTAATCATTTTTTTAGTTAATAGGTAAAACAGCAAAAAACCGGTTTTGTACGTGCGGCGAGTCCCCCTCTACGGCTAATGGGTATATTCTCATTTGACACCCTGTATATATATGTCACATTCACACATAATGAAATCATTTATTTCATGAACTGGATAACCAGATAGTGAAATTCGTTGAGATTGTGAATTTTGACGAAAATACATTATTTTATGGGCATCTATTTTATGAAATGGACAATACCTATACTGCATACTTTGTAGTTAATAAATTATATCATATTACATTATATTTTTCATAGAACATACTAATATATTATGTAATAACCATGAAATTAACAATACCTATATTTATTATATTTTAGTAACGAAATAATAAATTGATTGATTTAAATAATAATTAATAATGAACTATACCTGTATATTTTTCTTCCGTATTATTTATTTTTACATGATTATTGATAGTAACATCGACGGTTGCATACCGTATTATTTTTAAAACAAGCCCACGTATTTGATTGGTAAGGAGTTTTAGCCTTACACGAATTAGACAAAAATCCTTGCCAACCTGATATTTTTTTAATCATTTCTCTCACTGAAAATTCAACATCCGATAAGGAAACATTAATTTGATTTCGGATGTGGAATTACTGAAATACAATTTGATATCTCTCTCATAAAATATAGATTACGGGTAAAAAATAATCTTCCTTATTGATGTTGAAAAGTTAAGTTTATTACCTTGTCTTGTTCGTTGAAGGCAAAAACTCTTTGCCCATCAAGTATGTGTGATTGTTTAAAAAATAATATGGTATGTAACAGTCAATGTTATTATCAATAATCATGTAAAAATAAATAATACAGAAGAAAAATATACAGGTATAGTTCATTATAAATTATTGTTCAAATCAATCAATTAATTATTTTATTAATAAAATGTATAAAATATAGATATAGTAATTTCATGATTATTACGTATATTAGTATCGTTTACAAAAATAAAATAAAAGTATAATGTAATAATATGACATCATTTATTGGCTATAATTATATTTTTGTTAATAAACAACATAGAATTGTATAGTTATAATACTATGATATAATATAATTATTTATTACTAAATAATATTATAACATTTTTGTTTTATAATAATCACACAAATTACACAGTACAGGTACTGTCCATCTCATGAACATTTACGTTGGTTTTTAAAAAAATTAATTTAAAAGAATAAAATTGATGAAAAATTAAAAATAGGTTTTCATTAAAGATCCTTTATGAAGCATTTTTAGTTGTTTTTTTATACGAAAAGTATTGACTGAAAGAATAACGAGAATAAAATCACATTTGTTAAAAAATCATGTTCTGATAAGAATCTTAAAATGTTATGTACTATTTTAAATTTAAATTTTATTAATTAGATTTTAGTCCGTAACTATAACAGTTTGATAATTATATAATTACACAATTATACAATTACATCTATAGATATTCTTATGACAAACATAGAAGGAAAAAAACAATAATTAGAAATATTAGGATAGAAAAAAAATATGAAAAAAAAACTTACGAAAATAGTATTAACAAAATTAAACTACGAAACCAGCTTTCAATATTTACTTCATTATTATTTAATGACCATTTCAGATTGAATATTGAGCACTGAGGGGAATATTGAGGGGAATGTTTAGAGACATTAGATAGCTGAACTGAGACATACGTTTAGAATATAATGATAGATATTCTAATAGTAAATGAGAGAGGTCATAGTTTCAGTTATGTATAGTGTGCAGAGAAGAGAGTCGTTTAAGCCAAGTTTGTATGCTTGATCTGGAAGAAGTGAATTGCCCACGGGGAGTCGATTAAAAGGGACAATTATAATAGGCCATGGTAAATCTATGTTGAAAAAGCAAGTTTTTTATTAGACATAATGAAGTTAATACTCAGATGCAACGTTGAACTGAAGGTTATTTCAATAGTTGGACCAGAGACTGGTAATAAACGACGTAGTAATGGGGTAAATTCGATCCAAAGTAATATTGCAAAATAATTTGAAATTGTATTGGAGGTAGCTTTAGCGAGCCTGTCAGCCATTTCGTTATCATGTATGCCGATATGGCTCAGAATCCATAACAGTTGAATTAGGTGATTAGACTGATTGAGAAAATATGAAAATTATTTAATATGAAAGACTAGAGGAGATAATTTAGAACTAAATGGGTTCGATACAAGAGATTTTAAGTAGGACATAGAGTCGGAAGCGATTAAGTAATTATTTAGGGCTAAATTGGAGATAAATAAAAAGGCTTCGAGAATGCCATAACTCTCAGCTGTATAGGAAAAGGATGAAAGAGGTAGATTGTTATAGGGAGAAACGTGAGTTCAGATGTATAGAAAGCTGTTATGCACTTATAAACATCTTCGATTATAAATAAAAATATAAAATAATATTTGATACTTTAACATGCACCTCTTCTAAATACATTTTTTTAATCAAGTAATAAATAGAGACAATGGAAAAATATTAATTAATTTACCTAATAAAGTATGTATATTAAGATATTATGCAAAGAAAAAAATTGTAATAATTTAAAATATAAAACTATATATTTTCAGCATTCGTTTAATTAAAATTATTATTAAATAGCTCAGCTAACAAAGTATTTAAAAATAAATTGGGTTATAGTATTTTATAACTGAAAATAATAATAAAAATGGAAGAAATCATTGCAATTATTTATAACTATAATAATTTAATTAATTTGAAATTCACACAAAAATATGAATTTAATAAATTTGTTTGTATTGTTGATTTAAGGATAAAGAACTAATTGCTCCATGGATATTAATTAACAATGAACAAGAGTACCCAACGTTTTTTCGTTATGATCTAAATAATAATGGAATTAAATTCAATGAAGTTAGTGATGAGAGTCAGACAATTTGATGATTCTTTTTATGTTATTTTTATATAAAAGTACAAGTTTTTTTTCCAAAAAAAAGATAATCTTCTCCAATTAAATATTACTTTAGCATGATAATGAGTCAATTTGCTCGTGTAATGATGAATCTGAAAATTGTTGTTTGACTGATTGTGAAGATAATCGTCCCATAACTGATAATTGCCATAAACGTTTCAAAACTACAAATACTGATTGTGTAAAAGAAGGATTTAAAAATGAACTTCTGTCAATGAAGGGAGGAATGAAGATATTACACCAACAGAACCGTGATTTTTTGTGCAAACTTAACAGTGCAGTAATGACAACTCTTTATTAATGTGGTTACAATTTAATATTAATTCATTTTTTCTTTTAGAATCAACAAACACTTGCCTTAACAAATTCTCTTAAAAATAAGGTGAAATTAGGTGATATGTTTTTAAAATCATCAAACATAATGACTATTGTACATTTTTCAGCTAGCTTCCCAGAAATCTCAAGGAACAAATGATAATAGTACATGCTTTCCAGATAGTAATGTAATTATTAATTTAAATAAACCATAAAATCATACTGTTAAGAATTTAAAAAAATTTTTAATTTGAAAATTTGATCTTAAAGAAATCAAAACCACAAATTTTAATGCTCGAAATTGAACGATTAAATGACGAATTGAAGAGATTAAAACGTGACAAATGCCAGATTGAATTAGCTAAAAAAGTATTAAATATATCTGAAAACATGTGCCCTGTGAGTTTTCAAGCATAAAAATGAATAATAGCATAAGCGTATTATAATACGGTTTTTTATAATTGTGTATAGAATTGTGCTGAGACAAAAACTCTATGTGATGATCTTGAACCCAAGACTGAGGATTATAAAAAATTATTGGCGGATTATAAGTGAGTTAACAAATATGTCATGGCAATAATAATATATGCCTACTAAATTTCAATTTTATATACTGTTTAATTAGAAACCTGATACATGAACTCAAAACACATAAGTACTATAAAGTAGTAATGGGCTCTTTTTTATTTATTTTTTTAATTTAAATAGAACATTTACTATCTGCAGCAAAAATGTACAATAAGTAAACATAAGTGATGTTTCATAAGTGATGGAGAATGTTTTCATGTAATCATATTTATGAGGAGTGACGCTGCCCAGTGACACAACCCTCAAATGACATTATGGTTAGGGGTTCATTAAATCTTGCACCAGCGAATTTTTAGCCTTTTTAGGATTATTTGGTGGGTTGGCTATTAGTTTGTTGGTGAGGTTGGCTAGCTTAGAGTGAAATTTGTTGTAATTGTTGGATATAACTAATGGTTTCAATGTAGAGGTTATTGTAGATCGAGTTGTTAGCTACATACCAGGCTGCAGACTTAAGTAATGGCATTAAAAAAAAGAGTTTGGTCGCAGGATATTTGGCTAATAAAATGTGCTTTCCAAAAATATAAATGTCCTTAAATAACATTTTTCATACTTTTGCCATCAAAATATTAATTATAATATGTATTCATCAACTTTTTTTATGTTAAAAATAAAAACATATTATGTTTAATTACATCATACATTTATTTAATTTTAAATTTCTATTGTCAAATAATTAATGCGTATACATAGAACTTACAACGAATGTTGTTATTTTTCATTTCTAAAAATTGTTGCTTTGGAACTTTATTCATATTATGGCCTTTACGAAAGTATATTCTAATAGCCCACAGGCTATGCAAGCGGATAACCCTGCATAAGTATAAAAGTTATATTTTTTTTGAGTATAGAGCATAATAATAATGTAATTAATAGACGAATGTTTCAATTTACTAAGATTAATATTTAGTTAAACTACAATAAACATCTATAATGGTACCTAACCAATATTTTTTTCTTTGGGTAGCACCAATTTATTTGAAATTTGAACTATGGTTAGTGCTCATAAAAAATATCAATATTTTCTATATTTTTAAATTGCTTCAAATAACATATGAATATGATGTTAAATGTTTAAGTTTTTGACAAGATACAATGACTTGACATAAATTACGAAAAACAATTAACAAAGTAAAATGTTTTTAATTTAAATATGTATAATATATATACCTATATATAAAAAATAGAAACATGCTTAGAAAATATCAATGTACATTTGAATGAACATTTTTAAGTTTACGGTTATTTCGGTTATTTCTTTTTTGATAACAATAATAAAACTAAATTGATTTTGTAGAAAACTGGTGTTCAAAATATATTTCAGTTTTCCACCTTTTTTTTTATTAGTTTTTCAAAATCATTGAGATAATTACTTCAAATCTAACACTTTCGATTACTTAAAGCTTATTGTGGCAACAAGATCAAATTCCCTCGCAGAAACTATCCTCAATTTTGAGTAAAGTAATTTATTCAAAATGCGTCTTTACATACACAAAAAAATACTTTATTGTTAAACCAATACAAATCTCAATTAGTAATTTAATAATAATCCAATCATACAAAAAAAAATGTCAAACTTAATTTGTGACTCCATTACACACTGTATACATAATACCTACACTCATATAAAGTAACGAATGTATATACTCTTATATATTATATTATAAATAGTTATAACATAGTCATAATAATATGTTGTAACTCGAATGCTCACTTACAAACAAATAATCTATATTCGTTTTCAGCGATAAAGTATTAGAAATTGAAAATCTACGAAATATGTTAACCGAAGCTCAGTGTAACCATAAGACTTGTGAAGACCGTTTGACGATATTAAAAACACAAGTCTGCCAGTTACAAAAACAATTGTTTGATTTCAATTCAGCAAAATCCCACGTAATTGATTTATAATATTATTAAGGTTGGTATATGAATTTCCCAATATTTATATAGGATCCTGAAGTGGCCAGTTCAAATGAAAAATATTTGATTGAAAGTCTGAAAAGTCGTTTGTTAGAGGCAACAGAGGAAAAAAATAACATGCAGATGGTACTCGATTTTCATCTGACCGAACTCGAGGATAAAAAATCAAAGGTAATTTTTGGTTGCAATGTTTAAACTATAAAATTAACTTTGTATTTTGAACTTATCTCATGTTATTTTTATTTATGTTATCAAATTATTTTGTTTTAGTTTTTGGCAGTTCTTCAGACAAATCAAGAACAAAAATATCGTATTGAAAGTATTTGTAGGGAAAAAAATACAATTGCCGAAGAATATGAAGCGGAGTTTAATCGAATGAATGTAAGATACTGTATTATTAAGAACTATGTTTTAAATAATTTTAAGATTTTTATTTATGAAGTGTTTATAACGTTTTTTTTTTAAGAAGCTAAAGAAAGTAGTAGCTATTAGCTAGGTTGAAATATTTACCACTTTTAAAAAAATAAATTATCATATTATTAATTATTATAATAGAGAGGAAATATTTGATAGACTTGGGTTCAGACTTAATTTCAATATTATAAAAATATTCCAAAAAAAAATATTTAAAATACTTTCAACAGTATAAAGCATACAGTATAAAATGTTTTTTGGAAACTGAATTCAAAAAGAATTCAGAATACTTGAAAGGTATTACTATCCCAATCTTATGTTTCATTGTGTGTTTAAGCTATCTTTAGCTAAGTCTACCACATTCATGGTTCTGAAATTTGGTACACAGGCAATCCTTTACCCAATGATGTACCAAATGTACCCAATGATTACATTTAACGACATTTAAGACATAGTAAATCCACAATCATTGTTTAATTTGTCATAAGTAACACCTTACACAATATCAGCAACTGGTATATATTTATTATTCTTATTTAAATTTAGACAATATTATCTATGATTTACCGAAGATCGGTGTGAATATGGATTCATAATACCTATAAATAAGCAATCATAGAAATACTATTTTTGAACTATAAAAAATAACTAAAATTGCTGGGTTTCAGTAAGAACTACTTATGATTTCTGAAAACAACTTATGAACATTTAATAAATATTGAGCAACAAACAACTACCAAATTTTTGTGAATTTTGTCAAAATGTAAACATAGAACGTTTATACAAATATCATGTATATGTATTTTTAATATTTTTCTAACTTCTTGAATGAATCTAAACATATTTATCAAAATATTTGTGAAGTTATGCTCAATTTTTTTACTATACTTTTTGTAATAAAAATTTGAATGGAACCTTGCCTTAAATTTAACAAAATTTAGGTATGTATTATATTATCTACAAAATAATTTTCTCTTCTAAAACCAATTTACTGCTAAAGGTACCATTTTTCACTATTTTTTTTTTTGTCTTTCCTAAATATTACGAAAATAAGGGGAATTTAACCATTCCGCCATTAAGTATCAACTACATTCATTTTTTTGAACTTCAACTTTGAAATATTTTTACTCCTCCAAGAGGTGAAAAACACACATCATTGAAAAATGAATATACATCTACCAATCCTCATAGAATCTAAAATAAAGTAATCAATATAAATATTAAATGTTTAGAAGACGCTATCAATGCACATTTGGTCTTCGTCTTAAAAACGTAACACATAACTATCCAATTTGAGTTCAGCAGAACCAATTTTGTGTTGTTAGTATAAATATTAAAGTGAACTGACCCATTATCCAACTTAAAAGTAAGAAAATTATTTGTGCTTGAGTGTTAGATTTTCTACGATGATTAAATTTTTTATCAACACATAAGTATGTGGTACATTAAAAATTTAAAATGTTCATATTATCTTTCTTAAAAATTTAAATATCAAAATTCGAAATAACAATTGATAACTAAGCACAGATAATGTTTTCACATTTAAGGTAGATAATTGGTTAATTGACTCAAATGTTTAAGCAAACTACATGAAATTGGTTCTGTTGAATCAAAACCTGATATGTTTTACTCTGTAAATTGTTGACTAATATAAAACCTAGCATAGGTAGACTCGGCTTAAGAAAATAAGACAATTTGTATTGTCAGTTTTGGGAATTGAACCCAAACATTGCAATCACATTGCACCACAGCATTGTATTACTGTGTGGTTTGGATAAATCGGTAATGTTTTGTTAAGTGAAAATTCTTTGTGGCAATATGAACATGGTTTTATTATAAAAATAAAGGAATTTATTCAATGTATTTGAATAATAATCTTGAATAATTTATATAATAACTTATATTGTAAGATGTTTGTTACTTTGGGTCTTTGGCAGTTACAAAAAACGGATTTTATTAATATTTCAAATAAATATAGATGACCACTTAAGCAGTTATTAAGTTTCTATTTAAATTCAAAATAAATAAAGACTAGTGTTGGCTTATATGATTTTTCATAAAGTATAAAACAATTATAATACAACTACAAATTGCGATTAAAACTAAGTAGGTATGTGATGTAGTCGCAATATGATCCAATATTTTTAATCCCTTATAATCCAGACGATTTGATTCTCTGAACAACGGGTGACTGTAATTAGTAAAGATTATCATGACAACGCTACCATTTGATGTAATCCATTAGTATTATTTGTTTTAAAAATAAATAAATAAATCATAATAATTCTTAATTTCCATAAAATATTTTTAAATTAAAAACTGTAAAATAATATTTCACTTACCAATAAGGTAACGTTTTGCTTACAAATAGTGTATTTTTTATATTTAAAAATATTTAAGTAAGTACAAAAAATAATATCCAAGTTTTACAAAAAAAAAAAACTGTACAATGGGCTTTAACGATATTTAAAATCTTGATATTTCGCAGTAACAAAGATCAATACCATATTTGTATAGTACGTTTTCTAAGTCCTTTAAAATAATAACTTTTTATCATTGATGTCGATGTATCCTTATTAAATATAATTCATACACCTCAATAATCAAAAATGTATTATATTTTAATCTATAATAAATAATATTATCTCCAAAATAAAGAAGTTACATTGTACTATTTATAAATATATTTGTTTTAAAAAGCGTGACTGGCTAAAAATCTTAAACTAAACTCATGGCATAAAATTCAACAAAAACAATAATATATATATTTTTAGAAAATGTTTGGTAGATATTTAAAGTCGTAGTAGATGATATTCAGATGCTTCTTGTTCAAATCGTATCTTCCAACTTTGTTTCCAAACTTTTCATAACTCTCCATATTATGAAAAAAGAGAATTTGGAGATTTAAAAGTGTGAAAAACATAGGGTTTGCCGTTAGGTTTTATACTTGTTGGAAACTAAAAACAAGTTAAAGTTTTTAACGGAAATTTCTTCTTTGATTGTAAATTATTATTTATTATTAGTTTAAGTTAATATTTTTGGCAAATTTCTTTTGATTTATATTCATAATAAAAGCGTTGTATAAAAATAAGTGAACCGTATTTTTAAAAAGTAATTAACAAGTTAATAACTTTTACAAGTTGTATGCTCTAAAATACGTAACAAGAGAGACGATTATATTTGGTTTTAAAATTATTCAAAATAAATTAAAGCCTATTTTAATATTCTACTTAGTATTTCATAGTTTTAAACTATTCTAAATTTGAATAATTTTTCTTTAAAACAAGAAAACTTATACTTAATATAATATTGATTAGTACTTGTATTATAAAATTGTATGAAAGTGGTTTGAAATCCACGGGTACTTCTTACTAATAGTTTGAGATATTTTATTTAGATACCTAGAAAAATACATGTATATGAAGATCTAAAACTGTTTTAACGCCCCATAATATATTAATATTAAACTTGCTATATAACAAACTAAACGAAAAACAATTTGTCGATTTCAAAATTTGGTAACTAAAATTAATTCTTATTTGATATCAAATCATAACTAGATAATAATTACTTAATTAGTCTTGTCGACATTACAAATATAAAATCGAATGTGATTCCCTCGATGAATTATTAAAATTGAGTTGTGATTTTACCAAAAACACTGGTGTATGATTAGAATGTACCCACCTATTGAAACTCGTTCAGTTAATTTGGTGTAATAGTTGTAGTTATACAGTAATTACTTTTGATAGAAATAGTCAAGACAACCTGATCAATTAGTAATATTTCCTTCAAGGGGAATTCAGCTCAATATTTTTTTTCTCTCTTAGACTCACGCGCAACAAAGATAAAACGCTTTCACATAAAATCATTTTTTTGTGATTTTTGAGTTATCTTAGAGTAAGATACTCTACTACAAAAAATTCTAAAGATTATTCTTCACCACTTTTGTAATGGCGGGGGATTTTACACTAAAATTACTAAAAAAACATTAAAAAAAATGATTCTGCCTAAATGTTTATCCATGTTGTGCGTGGGCCAGAGAGAGAAAACAAACAGTGCACTGACATCGTCTTACAAAATTTAAAATTAACAAACACGTCATACAACCATATGGTGTATTGGTGTGTGGTGTATTTTTATATGAGGTATAACATTTACACTTTGTTTACTAAGTAATTATCCAAATTGTAAATAAGAGTAAAATATAATGATGACTGTCATTTTTGGTTTTAATTATTTTGTTTATTTCATAGTTTTCATTAACTATATGCATAGTTTGATTTTATGTGTTTAGATCAATACAATATACTTCAAATTATTAAAAGTATAATACTTTTTTTTGACATTTTGTTGTTTAAGGATCATCTAAAATCATGCCTAGAGGAGCTCGGAACATTACCTGGATTATTAGCAACTGCACAAAGGGATTTAGAAAAGGAGACATTAGCTAGAACTGATTTGGAAAATGAACGTGTCAATCTTTTAAATGAAATAAAATCATTAGTATGTATAAACGAGTGAATATTATCATAATTATTTTTAATACGTTGACATTTATATGCTCAAATTTATAGAAGGCAATTTTGGCGGATGATGACAGAGAAAATAAAGACAAAAGACTCAAATGTCTGGAAGAAAAAAACATACAACTGAGGTGAGTTAGAATTAAATTTATTTAACGATATAAGTTCAAATTCTGACTAAATCTGATATTCAAACATTATACGATTGAAGAGTTTTTTTTTTTTATTATTAAAAAAAATATTAATCGTAGAGACTAGAAGCTTGAACAATTCTAATATAACTTATAGAAGTTATAGTTTCCAAAATAACGGTTATAATATAATAGTCATCTATGAGTTAAAATTACGAAAAATAATATAATATTATATTATACTTATGATTTTTTGAGTAACACTAAAACTGATTAATAACCATGGAATGGATTACTTTGTTGCTTTACTTGTGTTCTTCATAAATTTATTATTTCGTTCACATAACTTGTTTTTGTCAAATAATTCAATACTCTTAGTAAATCCAATTTTGAACCTACTCGTACTTACGTTATATCATTAAAAAGTTTTTCAATAAGTTTAAAAAGTTAGTTAATATTAAAGTTTACCTATTTGTTGTGCATGATTGGTAAGATATGTTGCAATACTACTTATTTACATTATCTTGGTATTATTGAAACATTAAAGCATCGTTTATTTATGTGTACTACTTGTGTTACTATTAATAGTTTTTAAAATATAACATATTTTTTTGAAGAGCTATGATATTGACTTTGGAAGCTAATTTGGATGAAAACAAACGACTATACAAGGAACGAACCCACTATTCGTTACAATTGAAAGAGAATTTAGATCTTATAAGAAAAGAAGCAGCCTTACAAGTGACGAAAACCAAAAATTTTTCTGAATGCCAGATGCTCAAATATTTTGAATATATTAAACAGTTAGAACAAAAGTTGGTAGAACATAGAGCAATAACATGTTTAGAATTTCAAAAACGGGACCAAGTGAGTATTGTGGTTCTGAATAGATATGGCACTAATTCAATTTATTATGCTATTTCGATAAAAAAAAAATTAATATTTAATTACGTTACAACATTTGAGACATTTGAGATTATTCTAAATATTTTTTTTCTTAATACATCACATACAATTATAAAAATAGTAAAAACAACAATATGTTATGATCTTGAATATTAATATATATCTGGTTGACCAAACAACATCTTATCATAATGTTATTTTTTTTGAATATAAATTATATTTTCGATATGTAACAGTAGAAAATAAGATCATTATGAAACTATGGAATATTTAAATGATCAGATCGTGAGAAATGAGTCACCCAATAGCGAAACTATAAAGGGAGATTTATTTTAGAGAAAAAGTAGATATCTTCATCAGTTCCTTTTCAGGATTCAGGGTTAGTTAAATTTTACTATGTACCTACAATACACAATTTTCCGGGGTGTCATCCAATTTTTGGCGAGCAGTTGAATGGTAATTTTTATTACAATTACTTGATAAGTGACAATTAAGTATGTGTTTAATTTTAGATAACTTAAATAAGATTAGCACAGAAATGCTTCATGTGAAATTAAAGATCAAATTGTGTAAAAGATGATTTATTATTGGTGGTATCAATACTTAAAGGTAGTGGTGGGGTAGATGTAAAGGTTTTTGGTGACTTATTTGTTTTTGAGTGTACTATATGTTTTGGGAGTTCTTAATTGTTTAAGGAAAGGGAGGCGTATTTGATTTTAGAAATTAATCTGGTGTTACTGAATTATTGTAGTTAGGTGTAGACCAGTCAAAAATATTTTCTTCAACATTTGCTACATACGATATTTTATTTTAACTTTTAAGTCTTTGGTGTACTCTACAGTATTTTGTTTAGATTTAGAATTTTGTCCTGCGACGCAAATGTCTTTTATTTATCACTTGATAAACAATGTTGCGACTTTTGGTTCACTATAGATTTATTTTTTCATTGTATGATTGACAAAGTATGTGTGAATTTTGATAATTAATTAATTAAACTGAATTAAATTTAAAAAAAAAATTAAATTGAATGGTTGAAGGAGTAAAAAGAGTTAAGAGTTAAAAGTTAGGTATCTTATAAAACAGAAAGAGCCTGACTATTAACAGAACATGAAATTACGCTCTAACTTTCATTGGCACCCCGGGGCAATAATATTTGGAACCCCTATTAAGCACGTATACTTGAACATTTGCCACTCTTTAAATTGTTGCAAAATTTTTCGCCCTATAGGGCACTTACTCCATTTGCCATCCTATTGGCACGGCTCTGTTTGACTGCGGTATATATCTACCTTAAAATATTGTTATGTCATATTTTTCGATATAGATACCAAAATGTGTTCACTTTATTATTGGTAATATGTTTAATAGATAGATGGACGTTTGAGAAATCAAATCGAAGTATTAACAAAAAATTTAAATGAAGCACAAAAGCAAATGGGATATATAATCAAGGCTAAATATTCAATGGAAGATGAAACCGGAGTAGATGTATGCAAGATTCCTAGGGTACTAAATTCAGTATGCAATGCATTAAATACTCCAAAGAATTCAGATAATCTTGAAGACAATTGAAATTTATATTAATAGCAAACAAAAATACTTGTATTAAATTTATAGTGAATATTTTTATAATTATTGGATGATGAATAAACATATAAATTTTATTTGAAAGTTGTAATTAGATATTAACTTTATAAATTACTATATTTAAATCGATAAAATCATTGGTCACCATAATTACATTTGACTAGTTGACTGGTTACTTATAGAATACACAATTTATGTGGTATTTAGTCTATTATGTACTCATCCATTTATCACAATATTATTAGAACAATATTGTTTACCAATTAAAATACATCAATAAATCAATCTTAGTTACAATAGTTTTAAAATCATTTTAGGCCCCTCGTATTTTCTTCCAATCCTATAATCGTGGATCTATCATTAATATTTAATACTTACATAAATCATCGATCTAACAATTTATAGAAAAGCGTATGTATTGCCCTGATCAGTCGGTAAATGGTACTTATTCAAATATAGTTATTTAAAAATGGAGTCCTTAGTATACTTACAAATTTAAAGAAATTATTTTTAATTGATAAAATACCTAGTTCACTTAGTAAATCGTCCTATACCTATAAGTTTATTGTCGAGATTACGGTTAGTTATTTAAATTATAATTACAGAATTATATAATAATATTTGTAGTGCTTGGACAGTAAGTTGATTAACATTTAACACTAATTCAGCTAGCATTAGTATCTATATATCAATCGAAATTAAATACAAAATTGGTATTAATTTAATATCAACTAAAAATTAAACACTTTTTTAATAATTAACTAGCATCCGAAATCCGAATATTAGGATAAGTGCAACTGTTGATCGGCCCTTAGTTGGTTACGCAATAGTGTATAAATGTTGATATTAAGAGAACAAGAGAATATTATTCTTAAGTTTCTTAACAGTAAAGTACTAAAGTGGTTTTGAATATCGATCAGTATATGATGGATTACGTGGTTGTGTTAAAGGACTGTACTGTAAAAATATATTATAATTAAGTATAGTTATAGTATCCGAAAATCAGGATTCCATCGAATACCAATAGGTCCTTAACTGGTTACGCGGTAGTTTCGAAAGTGTTGATGTTCGGAACTTATTCTCAATATACCCAGGGTTAACCCCTAAGGTTGGGTATTAATGCATTATGTATAAATCAAAGTTAATTGATCTTTTTAATTTAATAAGTTAACTATATTAATTATTACTATGATTATTAACTTAATTGTAAACTTTACTTATAACTAACTATTTATCAACAAAGGTAAGTCTTACGTTCAAAGAATTATTTTATTTTCCCAGAATCGATTATTAATTACCTACTTAATATTAAAGTCACTGAAACGATTTATTTACAAACCAAAATATTTATTTATACCTGTGAATACATTCTATTTTTAATTTAATAATTAATACTAATAGCATGGAGTCTTAACTGTAGGTATATTATTTTGACTATATGCTTTTATTTCGAGCTCCGTTATTACCGTACTGCGGTGTGTACCTAAACGGGTATACTGTCTCAAAGATGTAGTGTGTTTTAGTATAATATAGTGCTTGACTGCCTCAGACGTACAATGTACATCAGTATATGCCAGTAACGTATGAAAAATTACTCTGAGTAAACTTTGAAATATTAGTAAAGAAGATAACTAATAAGACATCAAGTTTGTGAATAATCAGAATCAGAGTAACCTTAACTAAAGTAATATAAGTGTTACAGAATCAGAAAATACAAATAAAATTAATTATTCAATTATTTCACTTGTTTATTTTTGAATTATAAATACATAGTACTTGTTAAGCTATGTCTCAGAGTTCATAAAATAACCATACAAAATTCTAGCCCTATAATAGGTTGGTAGAGATGTTTTATTAATTTTTTTATGCATTTTGAGAATCAAGAAAGATCATCAAAATTCATTCTGCAAGACCAAGACCAATATTAACCTACATATTGTGTAACCAAGATGACTAATGTACTATAAACATCTTGGAATTACTAGCCTTGGTTTGATAGTTATAGTTAAAACACATACATTTTGTATAACTAAAAAAATGATAAGATGCAAATTTCAGCAGTGTTGGGTAAATTACTTTTAAAAAGTAATGGAATTACGTTGCTCGTTACTTCAAATATTTTTATTCAAATTAAATTTGCATTACCTAAAATTATTTTTATCACGTTACGTTACTTTTTCATAAATAAAGTAGTGCGTTACAAATAACGTTACTTTTTTTTAAATCTCTGATAGCAGTTATCATTTTTTAACCATATTAAATTCATATTATGATGTATTTTACAATCATAGACCTAGTGATAATAGACCTATTATGTACGAATTACAAAAGAGTATTATACAAATGTACAATCATCTAATATACATATACCTATGGCTATATGGTTTAAACTCAAACTACATATGTCTATAATACTAGTAATACGGAATTTTAATACCTGTGTTATTCGTATTCATATAGTATGTTATATTATTAGTATTATTATAATTTACATTTTGATTAGGTAGTATACATTATATTATACTATAGTATAATATTAATTGTAAATGGTGACCGCAGTCTAGTAAGGTATTAACATCGATGTAGGTAGGTATATCAGTTTAAATGTGTACATAGGTATACAGCCATATAGGTAGACAAGAAGTATAGTAGTAAATCATAATTTATTTTAATTCAATTTTATTTTTAAGCCAAACTCTTTTCTTTCTGCTAATATAGTAATAACATTAATTCTTTGAATGTTTAATTATATTATTGTTAACTATTATCGGAATCGACGGAATCAAAAATAAATAAAATTGATTCTCGATATCTTATTGGCTTGTTTTGGTAATACTTTTAAAACTATTATTTTAATAAATAATGTGGAAAATAACCCTTTAGTGCGTTTTACTTTTAAAAAGTAATTCCATTACAATTGCGTTACTTTAAGTAAAATGTAATGCGACTACTGCTGTGTTACTGTAAAAGTAATTGCGTTACAGTAATTTGTAATTTACGTTTTTTACGTTACTACCCAACACTGCAAATTTGTATGTACCTAATCGTTTTTCTATTTGTAAACATAATATACCGATTCTTCTGGTTTAATCCTTAAGTAGTCACTATACCTTTTAATAAAGTACTATTGAAAATTTGAACTATCCGAAAAAGTTTTATTTTCGATCGATTTTTTTTCATAACTGCACCTATGTCTTTTACTTACATTATGTTAGATTTGTAATCTAATTCCACAAAATTGTTAAGTATCCAGTGTCTCTTTTATAATCACAATTTTCAGCGATCGATCTTTTTTTTTTTTTGGGGGGGGGTGATGGTTGGGAAACCCCGGTAAGCTAGGTATATCAACCAAGGGTGAACCCAGTCAAAAGTCTTAACTAGGAACTAAAAAATGCCTCCACTCATTATTAACTCAACCACTGGGCATTGGAGACACTACAGAATGTGCAATAGGTAACCAGACGTAATCAAAGTACAAAACGGTTGATAGAGTATGCTATATAAACCACCTGTCAAAGGCACATCAATAACTCCATGTAGGAAATACCGAAATGATAAATAAGGCTGGCAAGTGAAATCGCAGGTCAGAAAAAGTTTCATAACTAAAAAAGCTGCGACGCGAGTGAAACAACAAATTGGATAACTATATTACTACATAGGCAGGTACTCGTCCTCATAATGATATGACATTGTTTACCCCAAACATTTCCAGAACAAACTGCATTCTGTCGCCAACAGTGCAACAACCATCCAGATGTTTTGACAACAACCACTATCGACACCACTCACCAACATGTTACGGCAAGTTTCATAAGACCTTTGAAAATATTAAGTCTTGAATACTGGGAGATGACATACCCTGCCTCTTAATACTGACTGAGAACATATAACCTTACAAACGGATTGCCCTGTCGTAAAACGAATTTTATTTAATGAAAATGAGTATATCTTATGATAATTTACATATTATTAAGACTATTTGTTGTCAATAAAAATTATGCACTTAATGAAACAATTTGAATACAATAATTCATGTGGTACCCTTGTACAAAACAAGCGGGGTTCATATATGAATATATTATTATAACAATTTCATAATTCCGTGTATAACCTATGCATGTCGTTGAACCTAAATACATATAGTATATTATAAGCTACGTTATGTTGATTTGTACACACCGGGTGTTTAATAATTGAAATACATCCGATTAGTATTAATCCTCATATAATTCTAGTGTATAGTTGTATGTATGTACACGACCGCGACGTATCTAATGTATTTATTATTAATGTTTCATTTTCGATGTTTGCGTTGTCACAAATAAAGTTTTATAAGACACAATTCATAAGCAGGTAAGTACCAATTAATAATTATAATTTTATAAAAAATGTATTAAAGAACAAACAGAATCACTTAAAAGTTTCAAATACTTTACTTTCTAGAGAGTAGATTTTGTTGAAATTACATGTATCATTTAAAATAATAATATTTGTTTAAACTTTGAAATTAATATTACACATAGGTACAATAGTAATGAAATTACAATGTATTTATTTTATTCTAATAAGTAATGGTTTTTAAATTATGCTAGTTTAAGAATTTAACAAATATTCAATCAGTACTTCATCAAAAACTATAACCTAACCAGTACAGTGCACACGTGAAAACTATCAACCTCAACTGCAGTATTTTTGATCACATGTAAGTTGTGTTTTAAATGCATTTTGGTGGTACACTATAATTGTTAATTGTGTAAAATATTGCCTTATGTAGCTTGATTATGGGTAAGATGTTTGACATAATATGTGTTATTAATTTTGACCGTTTATGCATTATTCAGTATAAAATATTTGGTCCATGTAGGCTATTCGTGTCAGGAATGTGTACTGATTGCCTTATAAAACATTGGTTTTGCGTAATATTTTCTTATCGTACTATTTCTTTATGCCCATACATGGATATGATTTTGGAGCGCGTACATCTTC